CTCAGACAGTGGAGAAAGTGTTTCTCAGAAGCAGTTGACTTCATCAAGAGGGATCAGGGTCTTGACCACTAGGAATCTGTGCCCTACATGGGCACAGAGAGGCTGGGTAGTGGGGCCTTAGATCAACTCACGCTTCTCTTTCCAGGAGTCCCCATCCTTGGGACAGAAAACTTCCTTCATAACACTTTACAAAGGGTTCCCCATAGCTAACCAGGCTCAGCTTGTGTTATTCATTTGCTCTGTGCATGCATATTGTATCTGCCAAGTCCCTGAAGCCAGTTTCCTGGTGGTAGAGATGAGCTGCATTGCCTTTGTGGAAAAATAAGAAATGAGGCAGACAGGGGAACTGTTGAGAACAAACTCAGGTAGCAACCATTACTCTCACCTATACATAGACACAGGCACTTACATGCTCACAAATAAGCCCTGTGGCTCCTCACCAGTAAGCTGTAATTGTATAGTTACCTTTAGTTGTTTATTTCTATTCTCATTGCTTGTCCATTGCACCTTCACCATTTCAAGATTTTCTGTCAATCATGGTGTAACCAACCTGCAGGCCTTCCTCTGCACCTATGACAAATATTATTGAGCAAACAAAAGGAAAAGGCCAGCTGTGGTGCTCTGATCTGTCTTCATCAAATAAAAAGAAAGTGTTTTTATTGTTAGGAATTGCATTGTACTTTCTGTCACAGTATAGGGCAAGCAGAATTTTTAATTGAATTTAGAATTCTTTGATTGAGTTAAGCAAAAGAAACAAATTATAATTATTTGGGATCTCAACCCATTGGTCCCCAAAATTTAGAAAAAAGTTATAGAATTCATACAGAATGGATCAGAAGTGGAAAGTCACCTGAAGGAAAGAGACTGTTAGGCCAAGTGGGATCATTTAAATACTATTTGAAGTTTGCGAAGATGAATAAAGAATTATTCCATAGAAATGGGCCTATCTACTCCACAAGTGTTAAACAATTATAGGCAGAACTATGCACTGTCCATCTTGAAAACAACTAGGAGCAGAATTATAAGCATAGGCCTCCTTCCCTTTGGGGCCAGTGTCAAGGCTTTCTATGTAGAACTGGTTGGCACAATGTTTTAATTTAGTTCTTTGATAGCAGAACTCCGTATCCCAACACCGTGATAGGAGAAAAGAACTAAGTTGAGAAGGTGTCTTAGTTACTTTCTCATTGCTGAGACAAAATACCAGACACCCAAATTCAACAGGGGAAAGGTTTATTGAGCTCACAGTTTTTAGAGGTTTCAGTTCATAATCAGCTGACTCCAAGGCAGGGTGGCACATGGCAGCGGGGCAAGAGTTCATGGTCGTGGGAGACAGCAAAAGCAACAAGAGAGAGTAAGACAAGCCTCTTTCTGCCCCCTATATTGTATCCAGTCTACTGAGACTAAGGTGGTGGCAATCCAATCAGTGGACTGATCAGCAATCACCTATTCTTAATCCCAGCACCCTTAATCTCAGCATTGCACTACAAATTAATCACACACTCCAGATTTAGCCACCTCCAAAGAAAAAACCCTATAACTACATGAGGCTTTAGGAGGACATCTAGTCCAGTGGGGAAAAAGAACTCTAGGTAAGAATGCAGCCCCTGTGGGAAAGAACGCTGACACTATTGGGCTGTGCCTGCATGAGGATAGAGTGTAAAAACCCCACAAGCCACAGGGCTGCTGGCTCAGATATTAGAGAATTGTGGCCTTGGATTCAAATGCTATCCTAGAGAAAGATCCCCCTTACATTGAAAAAGGCATTAACTGTCCCTGTCTGGTACTTAGACTATTGCACTAACCTCTTATTCTTTTCTTTTTGGCTGCATCCTGTTTATTTCCTTCATAGCCCATAAGACAATTTGTAATTGTATGTTTATTGATTATTAATATGCAATACATTTTATGTTTAATAACATATGTTTATTAGCTGTTTTAATTATCTTTTTACTTGCTTATTATTCATCTTTCTCACTAAATATTGGTTCTGGTGAAGACTGTGTTCACCGAAGTATGCCTAGTACCTAGGAAAATGATCCTTTAAGAATCCACATTCTGTAAACATGTATTGAATAAGTGGGTAAACAAGAAATAAAGTAAACAACAAATGGGTGAATTTAACTCTCCTCATTCACCAAGCCATTTTCTGATCCTGGTAAAGTTCTTTTATAAGAAAGGAAAGAATCTTTATCACACTGTTAGCTCTATGTCTGGTATTTCTCATAAAATTATAGTTTCTATTTCAGTGAGAGCCTTATTCTAATATGTACTTTAATTAACAAGGGGCATGCATTTGGGGACTGTCCACTTCTGGGCACATTAATGAGCTAGACTATAAAAATAGAGGTCAGATTCAGGCAGCATCTTCCGGCAACATTAGGAACATACCTCCCCTAGTCTCCAGCTTCACGCCCTACTTACAATTCCTACCAAACCATCAGCAGAGTCATTGTATTTGTCACTGACACATGGTTTCTTAGGTTATCGGGTTAAATAAAATCTGCTGCACCTTAGAAGATTATTCTACATTGACTTTCATCCTTGCTGCTTAATTAAATCCCTTACTTGGGAAAGAGTGATTTTCAGCCATCCCGCTTTCTGTAGCATCAGCACCTAACTGTGACTGTTGAAATATCAAAATGCCAGTTGTGTTTAATCCTTCAGGTGTGACAGCCCTGTTATGTTGTAATCCCCAATGAAAATAGATATTAACTGAAAATTGAAAATGATGGCAGAGGAGATTGAATCAGAATAGCAAAATGAGCACACAAATCTGTGTCTTCTCTTGCCCCAATTCCAAAGAAGATCCAAAAAATATCTGTTTTAAGGACTACTTCCATAGCAGTACTAGAAAAAAGAACGAATTCCATGACATAACCAGAAATCTTTGGAATTTCCTGGCAGGCCACAGAAGATACAATTAGCATGAGAACAATGCAGATGACCAGAGACCAAAAAATGCTCAAAACAAAAAACAAACAAACAAAAAAGTTTAGAAGTAGAAGCACATTCAGTGAGACGTTGAGCCAGTTTGCTGAAGAGTACGGTGTCTGCAGTGGTTGATTCCATCGCTGGCCCTAATTCTTCTCTCCTTCCTACTTTGATGCCCATTGCTATGAGACTGCAGCTCCTTTCACAGAGAGGTAGACACCCTTACTCCATCCCTTGTATCTAGACTGACCTTATAATTTGCATTGGCCAATAAAATAAGACAGAAGGGACAGTGCATCCACTCTGAGTTGTATACATTGTAAGGCCTCTTGTCTAAAAAAGGGAACCCATGCTTAAGGAGGCTTTCATGTGAGCACCAATGCCTAAGAAAGAAGAATGACTTGTGCTGAGATAACTCTGACCTCCAGACATTCTAAAGGGCAGACAGAAGGGAAAGGGTAGCTCTGCTTAGGAGGAAAATAAACTAACCTCTCTAACCAAGAGTAAGGAAGCCCTCCTTGTTTCACAGTGAGACAGTGGGTAGTAGAGGCCCCAGGCTGCTTTTCTACTATATTTCCAGGTATTCAAAAATTAGGTGCTTTGATTACACACTCTGCTCCTTTAAGCATAGCCTGTAAACAGCCCTTGCACATGGTGGAGGAAGCCAGGGCACACCAGATGTGTGTAACAGCAGACAACCCTGACCAGCTGGCCACATCCACCTTGCTGTCTTTTGACATTAATATAAAAAGACAACCAAGAAATGCCAGGTGTCCAAGAAAATTTTTGAGATGAAGGAGACATAGTAAGATAAAGAACATAGCAACTAATCCTAAACAATTCAATAAAGGAAAGAAATATATTTTAAAATATGATAGTATCATCAGAAAGATCTACTATATTACATCTATGACAGAAAGTAACTTTCAGAAATTTTCCAGAAAATAAATGACAGCACTTTCAGAAAACAATAAAGGACCCTTGAAACTCTTGAAAATTAAAAGTTTTTCCTTAAAACTTTACTAAATTTTTTCTTAAAAAACTCAATATTATGATAGAAGAGATTGTCACAGATTATCATATTATCGTAGATGAGTTCAGATGCAAAATAAATGATTATGAAAATAAAATCAAGAAAATTTTAATACAGAGAAAGAAAATAGATGGAAAATGCATAAGAAAGACAAAAACTGTGGAGGATGGATTCAGAAGCCCCAAAATACATTAATTAGAAGTCCTCAAAGGAAAGTGGATGAGAAAAGCAGCTAAAGATATAGTAGAGACTTTTTTCATGATCAAAAGTAAGAGCCTTCACATTGTAAAAGCTCCTGTAAATGAAGAGTAAGAAGAATTAAATTATGCACAAGCACACACACATGTGTGCATGCACACACATGAGCACACACGCACACACCTGGATTTGGGAAAATAAAACAAGAAGTAGCAAATAACAAACACAGCTAAGGGGCACCACCAACAGAAACACATCTTCAGCTAAACCCAAACAGTGCTTGGTGAATCTATTCCCAGTATTTGCTTTGGCACAAAATAAAATTCCAAATCGTACCAACACAGAAAGTAGAGGTAAGCAAAAGTATGCTACATTCCAAGAAGGCAATGAGAAGATGAAGATAATTATAATGATGACAAATTCTACATGTCAATGCTAAAGAAAAACAAAATGTTTACACATAACGATATATAAATGTAAATGTATAGGAAAGAATCTCCAAGGACACACAGGACAGGCAGGACAGGCAGATACAAAGGGAAACTTGGAGTTTGAAAATTATCAAGTTGTAAATTTTGAAGTCAATTTGCAATGTGAATATGATTTTCTGTATATCAAATTAAGATGAGGAGTATTTTTTAAAACTCAGCACAGGGATTATGCCCAGTATCTACTTTCTTACAAGGGAAAAACTGTAAGGTCATGTTTGTTTTACTTCTATGTATTTTAAGATTGCTTGCAAGAATGAAAAATTATTACTTTTATCTTTCAAGTGTCATATACTTTTTCTTCTTTTTTTACTTCCCCACCCACTCAACTCCTTCATTCTTCATCTTAGTCCAGGAGACATGATTACTCTTCTAGAGGATTCCAATGAAGACTGGTGGAAAGTAAGTATTTCTCTTTCTTTAAAAAGAACTGAGTATTTGGTAAAAAGAAAAGATTGTTTGGTGATCTTTTGGTAATTACAAATAGTGGTTCAATTGCGAATGAATACCTCCTATTTCCTTACAGGGAAAAATTCAAGACAGGATTGGCTTCTTTCCGGCCAACTTTGTTCAGAGAGTACAGCAAAATGAGAAGATTTTTAGATGTGTTAGGACCTTCATTGGGTGTAAGGAGCAGGGGCAGATAACACTGAAGGAGAATCAGGTGAGTACAGCACACAAAAACATGCCGGGTGTGGCCAAGCAAACATTACAGAGCTCAGGAACTGGGATGAGTGAAGTTGCATTGTATCTAGTTGAGAAAAGATATTTTTATTCCAAAACATATTAGTGTAGTGAGAAACTAAACATGCAAAACAAAATGTTAGGAACCTCCCTTGGTGATGTCTGTTCGCAAGAGGAAATATGCATTACTTCGTGTCGGCAGGGTGAGAGTACCTAATCCTGTGCTTTTCTCAGAGGATCACTCATCACTGACGTGAGCAGCTAGTGTGGACTGTGCTTGTGCACACTAGTGTGTAGCCATTGTCTCTTAGGAACGTGCTGGTGTTACTTGCTATTGTGTTCCAGGGTTCACTATATTGGCCTCAAATCACAAGGATCCTTTTTAGGTTTCCTTGTCCAGATTCTAAACCTCTGCCTGTTCACTGAAGATCATGACATCACACCATGGTATAAGGCACAGAATATAGATGATCAAGGACTATGTCAGGCACATGTGTTAGACCTTTCCCTACATCTAATCTAGAGGTGTCTGACACCATCTTGCTCCGGTGTCGTTGGATTTGGAAACCTTTATGATGTTACTTTTCCCGAACCCTCTGCATCCATTTGTCTTTAAACTTCTTTCTTCCCTATCTAGTCCTAGCATTGTTGACAGACACAAAGAAACATGATCATAATTTAAATCTTTGTCTTATTTTTCTTCTGTTTGTCTTCTTCTTCCTCTTCCACAGAGGGCTTCTTCCCACCCCGTGTTATCTGCAGCTCCTCTCCTGTCACAATTCTGTATTCTCACTACAGGGTAAAATAATCTGATCAGAACTCCAAGTTTGCTCTGGATATATTACAAGAGGACTTGTGAAAGGAGAAATTAGTACTTCTTTTCTCTCCCCATGAAGTCACACTGGGTTTCAGTTTCTAGTTTTGGAACCCAAAACCTTGCCTCTTGTTCTGAATTCTTGGTACAATAATTCTAATATTTTCCAAGGCAATGAATACCTCTAGTCGGAGGTGATGAGGCTTACCTTACAAAAAAGTACAAAGAGAAAAATGCATTAATGATTGCAGTACAGCTCTGTTCAGTAGAGTTGCTCAAACACATCTTGAGTATCTTATTTTAAAAGTACCTTCAAAAGTAGTTTCTAAGTCGTACACAAAAATCAGTCATTACTTTATGAACATATCTGATTTATACTTTTAAAAACTGTTTTAGCCAACTTAGCCAACTATTTTATATCCCTCCTATGGCTCCAAATGACTAATAAATAACACTGAAAAAATAATGATTAATTTTCCTTGATACCTATTCAAAAGAATTTTTTAAGTTATAATTTGAAGGAATAGCTTTTTAAAAAACTTTATTCCTACTCCTGTTATATTCAAGTAAATAAGTTATTTAAAATAAGAGACCAATAATTTTGAGTATTATTCTTCATATATAGTTTAACAAAGATGGGGAATGGAGTAAAGGCAATTTGGGTTTTTCATAAATACTAGGATACGTCAGTCCACTCATTGTGAATAATAACTTGGTACCATGCACCAAGAGCCACAAAATTGCTCAGTGTCATGAATGCAGTAATTCCACTTTCTGTTATGTACCCTAGAATGTAATCTAATACAAGGGGGTAGAAATCTTTCTGCAAAAAGATAGTAATCAGAATAGTGTTCACAATGGTAAAACTTAGGAACAATCACACAACAATGAGAATGATTAGGTCAACAAAACTACTTTCTTTTTGGGCACAGTGTCAGGAACCAAAACCATTTTGATAGTGTAATGGTAATGTTCAGGGCAGAACGCTGGAACCAAGATCCCAGTCCCTGTTTTCCCAAGGTGAACACAGAGAGAGAGATGTAGATACAGACGGAGCCTGAAGCCCTGGTTTTATTCTTGGAGCCAGTGAAGCAATAGAGTGCTGGTGTGAACGAGGACCTAAAAGGCCTCCTTACTACACGCCCTGTGCATCTTTCTGTCATCACCGCCACCGCCACGGGCTGTACTGAGACTCAGGATTCTGTGACAACAGTGGCCCATGGTGAACAAAGAATCAGAAGGAGTGGAGCAGAACTGCATAGGAAACAAGACAGCCTGATGAGCTCCCAGGAGGCATAAGAAAGGAGGAAGCTTTCCAGACAGTGATAAACCTTTGACATGTAGCCAAATCAAATCTCCTGATTCAGAAGTGAGGAGAGACCTAGGAGAGAGAAGAGATCTTCAAATATTGTATCACCATCTTAAATGATGAGTTATAAATAGTGGAGAACAGTAACGTGAAGTTAAATAATGATATAAAAGCAGTAAAAAGTAATACAAATTTAGGAAACAAGAACTTCGTTTCTATTTAAATTACTTTCACAATATAAATTTACCAGAACTACAGTTAAAAAGAAAAAAACACTTGATCTTACCTTTTGAATCTAATACTATAAAGGTACATCGTACTGCTTGGTTTGTCTGTGTATGCTCAGAGGCACGCATAAGCAAGCACATAGCATTATATCCCCCCTTTGCATATCCAATTACAGTAGCTGCTACTTGTGCAAATACCCCCAGAGATGCATTCTACCTAATGATTTTTTGTTATTAAAATCTCTAATATCCTAAGAAACTGGGTTACTGGGCTCCATAATTTCACCCTAATTTTATAGTTTTACTTGTATTTGAAATTCTTCCCTTTCATAAAAATTGCTTATAGTGTATATCAACTTTAGGACACACTGAATTTTATGAATTTATACAACCTCTGTTCTATTTGGCTGCTTTGGACATAATATACAGAGTTCACCAAAAAGATGTATACACACTTCAGGAAAAAAAATAGTATATTTTTTCAACAGATGGCCATTGCTTTCAGCACTTGTGATTGTAGAGGCCAAAGGTAACATATTAATCTCAAGGTGTCTCAATAAATCTAGTATTAAAATATTTATGCAAGTTTTTCTTTTCCTGTGTGTACACATTTTTTGGCAGACTGTATGTTTAAAAAGATCAAAAGCCATGGATGTGCTGGAAAGATTTTCTGCCCAAGGTTGTTTGTTCTCCATGGAGCTGATGTTAACCCAGCACGCCACTTCCCCCGATACTTCTCAATGAGGTAACAACAAGAGGCATCCTCTGCCTAGACAGAGCAGTATCATCTGAGGGACTTCTCAACAGCAGCACATCTGGGGAGCCCCGCCATCTCCACGTACCTGGCAGATTACACAGACCACTCTGCCTCCCATAAAAGTATGTCAGATCTCTCTGGGTATTCTTTTTTGGATTATGATGACCTATCTTGAATCTGCTACTTGAAGGAGAACCTTGTTTCTCTAAATCTTGATTCACAGAAAAGAAAAGAACAAATTAAAACTCCTCTAGACATTGTCTCAATAATAATCATTACCTATCACCTTTACTAGTCATTATTTAACTATATCATATGTACAAATTATATAATATTGTCAAATTTATATACCTACAATATTCTCTTTGATATCACACACATGCCAATGAATTTTGTAGATTAATTACTAATTGTTTTTCTTTTACAAAAAGCTCAATAAAAGTTTATTGATGTTACGTACCTTGCTGAATGAGCAAGAACCTGGTAAGTGACAAGGGTGTAATGTAAACACAGATCTGCAAATTCCAAGTCAATGCCTTCCACTGAGCAGGGTGCCCTCAGCAGTGTTCAAAACCCATGAACAATAAAAAGCCATTTGTACAGCTTGGCTCCCAGCATAGGCAAATGTCATAAAAAGGAAAGTTTTGGGACCAGAGAACCCCTTGAAAACATATTCTTCTTCTTGAGGGCTCCCTATTGAGTCATTCTCTATTCCAGGCAGTGAAATCACCATCCTGAGACTGAGACCCCATCTCTAATGCCAGACACACTCCATAAAGCAGGTGGGCACTTTTCCCAGCTTGATTCCATGCCAACCCTTCAAACTTCTGCAAGTTTACCCAACTGTGTCCTTTCCTGTTTCAAAAATTTGTAAAGTCTTTTGATTAAAATAAATTCATGAAGTACATTCATCTTTATTGGCAAATGTTATTAAATCATCTTGCTAGCACATTTGATTTTTTTCTCAGAATAATCTTGTGCTTCCTGATTTGAGATGAAGCATTGTTTTTACATTATTAAAATACAAATCAGTGAAACCAGAAGGCAAATTAAAATTTGCTCAAGTTGATCAGTTTCCAGAAGCAGAACATCTGCTCAGTGGTTCCTACCAAGTCCTTGGCATATGCCTCCAAACAATTTTTCTGGAAGTGGGCCTCACACCTGCATTCTCTACATACTACATTCTCATGGCTGAGCTGACAATCCCTTGGGTTTGGGGTGGGGAGGAGGGAACAACTCATCCTCTTCAGTGAGACATGTTTGAGTTACAACATAACATGTCCACATGAACTTGGAACTCAATAGGCCCTCATATATCTTTTGGAAAGTGTCACAATCCTCAAGGATTTGTGCAGGGTGGTGTTTCTTAAGTTATGGTTTTTGGACCACTTGAATCAAACTCACCTGGGGATTAGAATAATTTGTTTAAAAATGCAGATTCTGAGATTCCACCTCAGATCTGCTAAGTCAGAACTTCTCTACTACAGGCAAGAATCAGTCTATTTCACAAACTCCCAGGCACTCTAATCAAAGCTAAAGTTTGAAAATGACCTTTATTTATATCATCTCACATAAGTTCGAGAACTGTTCTTTGATGATTAGAAGCATTTTTATCCATTTAAAAAGGGGGTCACTTCCAATCAGATGTGGGTCAACAAAAGGCCCTGAGGTCTCTACACTTAAACAAATTCTCTATTTTCAATCTTTGTCATTACTGTGGCAAATAACTTTTAAGATGCATCAGCCACTTGAAAAACATCCACATTTTAAAAAATTATTAAAAACAACAAATGTCAAAGTTCACCTCCACTTTGTTGTCCTAAATTGTTTTAGGTGCAAGGTTTGGAAACACGCTTGTTTGTTGGAGAAACACAATGTAAAAGAAAGAACACAGATTCCAATATTACACAAATATGGACCTGTGTCCTGTGTGATTTTGACAAAGTCACCTCCGAATATCAACATTCTCATCTGTAAAGTCAGCACAGTAGCATCTCCCTCCAGTCTGTAGTTGTGACAGTTGTCCAGGGTCACTGTGTGAAGTCCCACCGCAGCGTCTGGACAGCACAGGTGCTAAACATGGGTCATCTCTCCTACCCCCACCATCCCTCAGAGTAAAGCCCAAGTGCGGCATTCATCTGCTGCAGTTATATCTACCTAAAGCTACTAAGTAAGTACCAGAACATAGCCACTCTGATATTTATAATTCTAAAAATAAAAAGAGACAAATGATCATTAGCAGGGAAATTGAAGAAATTTGATTCTGAAAATAAACACAATGCATCTTTTTTATTGAATCATATTTCTGCCTCTAGGGTTAATGTGTCTCATAATTATTATATTATTTTTTCATAGTGATCTTGTTTCCAAATAGAATTAAGTTATCCATTTGTCATGACACAGAATTTGCACTGACACAAAGTATATTTTGTTCATTCTTTAAAATGTAAAACTTTCCTAATTAAATAACTTGAAACACAATAAAACCATTTCTTTAAATTCAGCCATAGTTTGATCATACTTATAAAACTATTTCAATTGGTCTTTTGTGTTGTATTAAAACTTTAAAAGAACAGATAAATGATTTTTAGGCAATAGAACTAAAATGCACTTATAGTGGAAAAAATTAGAAAACATTTTAGAAAGATAAAAAACATGTGACCACTAGTAATTCAGCTAGCAAGGTGTTATTGACATAACCACAGGCATATTTCATACCAAACTGTCCTTTTAATTCATAATCTAATACCATGTTCTATTTAGTCTCCCAGCTCTGTAAAGGTAGTCAGTATATGTTCATCAAAACACAATATAACTGCACCCAGATCAAGGACAGCGAAATATGGTCCATTGACTAATTTTTTTTAATGAAAGTTATATCAGAATTTAGCTAAATAATATTTTGTAGCTTCCGAGTTGAATAAATCTAACAGAAACCCCTTTTCCTGAAAGTCACAAAATATTTACTGTTTGGTTCTTTACAACCCCTAGTCTAGACGTACAAGACAATATTTCAGTAACTCCTCTGTTGGATGCTCAGAGTTATTTTTTAAACTACTATCAATAACCTTAATGACCACATTTAAATCCTTCTCACTAATTCCAACTGTTTTCTCAGGATATACTTTAGAATTTAAAGGAAAAGAGATAAGAAAGGGTTCTATAGCCCTTTATATATACTGCCATTTTCCTCCAGAAAGGTTGTGCCAGTTTACAACCACACCATCTATTTATGAAACTACTGAAGTCACCACATCCTTGCCAGAAGTAAATTTGATATCTGTTATTTTGATAGATGAATAATAGTTTAGGTTATTTCTGCATTTCCTGAATAAAGGGTTTAATGTTTTATCCTATGTCTATCAAACATTGGTATAATTTCCTCGTGTGCTTTGTCCATTTTCTTATACTATTAAAAATACTTATACTGTTCTCTTTTAAGAGTATTTACACCTGGTCTATCCTATGTGGCCCATGTTTTTCCCTGTTTACCATCTATCTTTTGATCTTAATACTTCTTCCCCAGGAGTTTAATAATTCTTTAGCTGGATCATCTCTATTTTAGCATATTTTTCTTGTAGTTTTAGTATCTTTAGCATTTTCCACTTCTTTATCCCTCTCCTCTTGCTCCTAAGAGAATATTTCAAGATAGCCCTTATTTCATTTTCATTTTCTAACGTTTCAATTCAACCTTTCATTGCTTCTAACATAAATTTTAATGCAGTCTTCATTTCTCGGTAAGATTTTCTTCTCAGGCCCTCTTCCCCTCAGCTATTTCTTTGCATCTCATTACATCATCTCTCTACCTCAAGAGATTCTTGTCTTACAACATCAAGGACATGTCTTCTTTCAGCCTCCTACATCTAAGCATATTATATTTTCAGACATGTGTGCATATTTCCTGCAATATAGCTAATGCTGTAGTCTTGCAGCAAAGGGAGTAATAGTAGTAACAGTGTCTCAAAACTGTCCTGATCCCTAAAACATTGAATATTTTACCTTTTATGGCAAAAGGAACTTAGTAGATATGATTAAATTAAAGATCTTACAACAGGGAGATTACCCTTGATTATATGGGTGAGCTCAGCCTAATCTCAAAGATTCTTATACCATCAGAAAAAAAGATGTGGTAATGGGAGCAAAAGTCAAATAGATTTGGAGATGCTTTGCTGCTGCCCTTGAAGATGGAGGAGAGGGCTGTAAGCCAAGCAAAGTAGTAGACACCAGAAGCTGGAGAAGACAAGGAGTATGCATTCTCCTTGAGAGCCTGCAGAAGGAATTCGACTCTGCTGATACCTTGGTTTTAAGACTTGAGACTTGAGAACTTTAAGCCACCAAATTTGTGGTAACAGTAATAATGCAGCTTTCATTTAAAAGGGACTTTGCAGATGTGATTACAGTTATGAACATTGAGATGGGAGTTATCCTAGACTGTCTAGGCAGGACAAAGCTAATCTTCCCACCTTTATAAGGGTACAAGTACATCTGACTTAGGCAGGGAGATGGAACAGAAAGGGCAGATGAAAGATGAAGCACAAGGGTAAGTCAGAAAACTAAAGTATGAGAAGAACCCAATCCATCATTTCTGCATTTAAAAATAGAAGAAGGGGCCACAGTCCAGGGAAAGCAGGTGGCCCTACCCACATGTTTTTCACTAAATGGGCACACCTCATCTTCCAGTTTGCTGTATTTATGAGCTGCTAACAACTCATAGCTGTTTGCTCCAGTAAGGCCTCTGTTATAGATCCAGAGCTGCCTCACCTGAGAGGCTATGCCTTGTATGTCTCAGTCAGCCAGCAGCCGAAGAGTATCTGGAGCCCAAAAGTTCAAAGTGAGACAACATGTGCTGAAACCATGCCCAGATCTCCTCTGTGGTCTGCCTAGACTTGTCTCTAAGTTCTCATCCTTGTTAGGCCCCTTAGTCTGCTCATCCCACTCCTCTCTCAAAGACTGTCTTAGTAACTCACTTGCAGGATGCTTCTAGGAATCCCAACCTAAGATGTAATTTGCCTATGGAAGCAGGTCAGGTATAAGAAACTCACAGCATACTAACATTTCTCCATAAAACTTCTATTCACATGTACTTAATTAGCATGTAGGTGGTGAGTGGCAAGTGTATCGAAATGGGAAATGTTAACATCTGTATGCTTGGGGCTAGGAAGAGTTCCCTTTGACTTCCTGACATTATATAAGGCACATAAAAAAATTCTAAGCCCATGCTAGGAGCCTGCTAAGTGAGAGCTATTATTTTAGTTCTTTAAAATAATGTGTTAAAAACTTTTATGCTACAAGTGAGGCTCTTATTTTGTCCTCACAGTGACTCTTTAGGGGACCCCATTTTATTAATCCTCATTCAAAAAACTTTAGCCCATAAAATGCTCAATGCCTGGGGCTAGTCCCAAACACTAGATTCCACCTAATTTTTTAATCAAAACTTGTTTTCACAGTGCTGCAACTACCCAGCCTGAAGTTTCTCTCCTTTCTCCAGTTAGGTGCTCCTGTGACCTCCAGGAGCAATCATTTCAGCTGCAGGTTCTAGCTTTTCTGTTGACACTAAAGTCTTATGATTTTTCTTCCTTGACCTTCAGATCTGTGTGACTTCTGAAGAAGAACAAGACGGTTTTATTCGAGTCCTCAGTGGGAAGAAGAGAGGCTTTGTCCCCCTTGATGTCCTGGAAAATGTCTGACTGTAGGTCCCTCCTCCTTGTGCAGTAGGCAAACTCTGCTGTGACGCTGTCTGCTCATCTCACTGTGTCCCCCCAGACAAGCTGCCATGTTGACCGGGACCCCCAGGAACAGGGAGATGGACTCTACGACCTGCACCTGTGGAGCAGCAGCCACAAATCAGAAGGCCCATCGCATAACATATTCAGGCTGTCCAAAGTGGGGAACAGGCTGAGAATCAGCTGTCAGACCTGGGGCAAATCTGGTGGCAGCAGCAGGGCTGTCAGCCACAGCTTCCTCCAGGATTTGATTCTGTCCCTGTCTGTGTGCTATAAATCAGCCCACTGGAGTGTGAGCCAGTGTATGATGTGGCCCCAGTGCTAGGTTCACAGCTGTCTAGCCAAGGGTTATTCTGGTTCCAGACATTTGTCCCCAGTACTGGCCAATCAACATCACATTTCAGAATCCAAGCATTCTCTCTGCAGAGAATCAAAAAGACCTCCTTCCTAGCTCAACAGTCCAGGGCTCACCTCCAGGCCCTGCTTACTTTGTGCTCTACTGGTTGTTCTTTGCTTCTCTTTATTTCTCCAGTAATATGTATTAAATCTGAGGGCTCAGCTGACTTGGCACCAACTGCCAAGGTCAGACCTGCCCCCACACTGCAAACGGCAATTCTTGCCTCTTTGGTTAACAATAGAGGTAACAAAGCAGGATCTGGACATAGGTATAAACAGCAAGGGGAAGTGCAGGTAAGGAGAGGCAAAGAGCCCTTGTCTATTGATATAAAAACTTCTCCTGAAGTAGATGGAGCTGGGAAAGAGGGTATGGTAAAGTCTTTGTTCCCGTTTTATACCTTCTGTATTGGGAGCAGCATTCTCCCATGTGCCATCCTGCAAGACTGTATTTTGGAGGTTTAGCCCATGTTGTAGGGAACCAGAAATATGGAGGGTAAACAACAACAGCACCTTAGAAGAAATGTAGCCAAATTGGAATCCATTCTTTTTTAGGGCAGTATATTATACCCTAGCAGATGTAAAATGGAAAAGAGTCCTTAATGTTTTATCCTTCGGAGAGTAGAAAACTTGGAGTCTACTTAGCATCATCTAGAGGAATCTCTATTACTCTGCACTTGTACTAATGTTTACAAAAATACAATATACTGTGATGCCTTCCTCCTCGCGCCTCCTTCTTGCATTCAAACTTGCATCCTAGTCGTTATGACTATAGTTAAATTTCAATTCTCAGTGACCTTAAAATCAGTGTCAGTTTGATTTATTTTTGTTACAAAGCAATAAAATCATTAGAACAATTGGTTTTTAAAAGACTTAAGTATGCATCCTGTGCATGTAAACATTATTTCCCAAATCAAAGCATCATTAATCTCCATTTATTTCTTTTGTTACTTCTCAGCATGAGTTAGGAGCTAAGATGGGGTAGCTGCTGGTTTCACAGTGATTTGGATGCCTGACTATAATTTTAAAGCCAGCATCCAGACTTTTCTCCCTATCTGGTACAACATGAAAAACCAGATGTACATAGTCAAGATGGATTCTTTGACATCCCAGGTAGATAATTTGACTGCCTTTCTCTAAAACTGTACGCTGAATGCTAACATGCTTTGCCTCTAGTTCAATTTTCCATTTAATAAGGGCAACACAGTGGCTAGAAGAAGCAGAGAGAACATGTGCTCTGATCTTTGTGGTGATTAGAATTTTTGGCAAGTAGTGTCTGACTTACATTTTTAAAAGTCAGTTTTCCTTTTCAAGTTGAATGGAAGGAGGATGTGATATCCAGCCTCCAAGGCAGTACCCCAGTGAAGCCTACCTCCTGATGTCTTTGCCTTTGTGTACCCCCCACCCTGATTGAATCAAGATTTTCTTTATGTGGTCAATGGAACATAGCAAAAATTATACACATGATATCAGAGGCCAGGCCAAAAAAAACTTGCATCTTCTAACTGGATCTCTCAGAATATTTCCTACTGGAACCCTGAAATGCCATGTAAGAACCTGAGGCCACCGTGCAAGACAGATCCAGTGGAGATACCACATAGTTCAGCAGCTCAAGTCTCACTATAACAAAGTGGTGATGATCTGTACCTACTGATCCCCACGCAGGTTATAGATTTATATGCAAAATGAATAGGTAGGGTTTTATTAAATTACTAAGTTTTAGAGTGATTTGTTATACCAAAACAAGTCACTGGGAAAGGGACTTTCTTTATATTTGAACTTGCATTCAAGAAGGAGAAAAGTGCTTTATCTGTCAATGAGGCCCAAAAGCTTTGCAAATACCAAGTGTTGGCAGGCAGTTAACTCTGTAAGCGTAAGAGGTCTAGTGTTCTGTAGAGATCTAGAGTCAGGCAAACATCTATGGCTAGATTGCCATAGATGCTTCTCACACAAGGAGATCATGGGAACCGGAACATTTCCTTTCCTCATACGTATCAGCAGAAATGACAAGAACAAGGATAGCAATGGTCTATCAAATTCTTGAAGATTTCCAAGTCTTAAGAACTGTCTGGAATGCAAATGAAGTGAAGACCTCAGGAGTCACTAATGAAAGGAGAGGGAAGGAGAGGGTAGTGTTCACAGAAGAAAATCTGGATCCTGAAGTATTCTTCATAGCATGAAGGAGCAGTTTCGTGCCTCATCTCCTGTCCTGCAACTAAGGGATGGTACATATCTAAACCAGGACAGCTGTGCCCTGTACTTTACCACTAACACCGTAAGGGCCTAGTTCTATCATGGTAAATTTAGAATAAAGACCTGATTGAACATTCTTCAGAAGGTGGAGAAAAGAACTTCCTTCAGCCCATCACTAGCAGCTACCTTTGGTAACTTTACTGTGGGCACTGGGGCTGCAAAGAGAGCCCATGTAGATGGCCACATGGCTGCCAGTAGGGATGATTTCATAGGTCACTTTTCCTTCCCAAATATACACCAAACACACACACACACACACACAACACACACACACAGAATCACTCTCATCAAGAGGAAAAGAAGAAGAGTCCAGAAGCTGGGTTGAATATTTAAAGTAACCAGTGGAGTGATACATGATATAAAATTAATAGAGATAGTCTTCTGTGCTATTGGAGGAGAAAACTTAAAATCAGTGGATGATCACTAATGCAGATAGCCTAATGTAAAACACACAGACACATATGCTCATGCATTCATTCCCAGAACAAAAACAATTGGAATTCAAAAGCTAGTCCAAGTAACTGGCTGAAGAAAATCCACTGGCCAACCCCAGCCTAGAAGAGAAGGCAAAGAGAGCTACAAATTGTGTGCTGTAATAACTTACATTTAAATAACTTGACTTCTTTACTCAGGACTTCTCAGAGCCTTTAATTTACTGATCCTCATGATGAATATCCAAGAAATGGATTTTAGCACTGCTTTACCTGTCCTAGAACACTCCAAGGAACATAGTTCAGAAAACTCTACAGAGGAGAGTTCTTCTTTAACATGAGATCCCCTAATAAACTCAAGACTCCTAATACTGTAACCCCTTTCTTCATATTACTCACTGAGATGTTTATGAAGAATTGGGAAAGTCTAAAGGACACAATCATAGTGATATTCAGGATGAAAGATGATCTGCTCAAATTTGTGTCTCCAGGGGAGTAGAAGAAAGTGAGAATCTGTGTATTGCAAAGATGGAAATCCAGGAGGAAGAGGAGCTTTACTATGCTGTGACAGCTTCAACAAAAGCTAGCCAGCAGGGAGTAGGCTGGTATAAATCTTGGAACAAAGCGCAGTATTGACCAAAATAGCATCCCCTGGAAGCAAAGTGAGCAGGTGTGCCCCACAGATTTACCACAAAGCAAAACATTTAAAAAATAACTCAGTCAGAAAATTTTGAAAAGTAAATGGCATTCTGTATTAATCTCAGATTCTTCTCAGTTTCCATTCTCTTGTGTGCTTTTTACAGCACCTGCTGTTTCTGACCCTTAGAGTGTGTTTTTTCTGAGTTTCCAATAAGGAGTTTTAAATAGTCCTCAGTCATATTGTGGGTGATGCAAACTTTACTTGGAACTGTACTTTGAAATGTTAACAAGACCATAACAATTTATTTTAATAATTCCCCTTTAAAATTGAAAATGTGACAGGATTTTTATGATCTATTTTCAAATTTAAACAGTTACTGAATATCTTTTATATCTTCATGGACATTAGGACATACTAAAACTCACCCTGGAAAAGTTCAAGACTTATTTTGAAGGACAATTGTGGATCATCTGTATAATTCTTCTACATTTATTCATATTCTCAGTTTACTCACCTAATCCCATCTTTTTCTATACATAATAAAACTTTCGGTTATCTATCTTCTGCCACCTCCTCAAAAATTGTGTGCTTGTTATATTTAATTTTTATTGAAATAAAAAAATTTAAAGGTATACATTTTCCTCTGAATTCAGCCTTGACCACTTCCATTTTCACTCATTTATAAATACTCTGCAATTATAGTTTTTTATTCTCTAAAGTTTTTTTTTTTCGTCTTTTTTGAGATGGTCTCGCTATGCAGTTCAGGCTGGCCTTGAGCTTACTTTGTAGCCCAGGCTGACCTCAAACTTGCAATGATCCTCCTGCCTGGGCCTCCTGAGTGCTGAGATTACAGGCGTGTGCCACCACGCCCAGATTTAAATTTTATTTTTCATCACTATATGTTTGCAAGACATAATATTTACATTCCTTGGGTGGAGCTGATACACATACACATCTTACTTCTCTTTAATTCTCTTTCCCTCCTCTATCTCCCACCTCCCTCCACTACTTGATACCCTTCCCTTTTGAGGAGGCTCTATCTTCTCACATCCTATTATGTATCTTTTATTTGGCTCTTTATGTATAATGTGGTTTCTCATACAAGAAAAACCATGTAATATTTCAGCTTGTATGTCTATTTCACTTAACATTATCGTCTCAAGGTGTATCTGTTTCCTATAAATTACTAAAATTTGTAATTATAGTCTTGATTTTTCTCTTGGAGCTTTTATTTTGTGTGTGTGCATAAGTAAGCCATTGTACATTATGGCCAGAAAATATAGTCTCCATGGTTTCTGCGTTGAGGAAATAATTGACATTATATTTTGTGCTATAGTATATGATTAAAATCAATAAATGTTCTGTGAAAGTTGGGGGGAAGTCATGTCTCCAGTGTAGAGTTCAATATATATCTACTAAACGAATCCTTAAATTTTTCAGGTTATCTATATTTTGAATTGTTTTGTTCATGTCCTCTGTCACAGACAAAGAAGTCAAAACAAACAACAGTGGGGCTGAAACAAAAGTCACCTTGAAATGCTCTCCAATTGCTTTCTTAGTTCCAGTTCTTGAAGGGGGAATTGCAGCCCCAGTTCTCCACAGCAGCCTCCTCTTCCACCTAGCAGAAAACCTTCTAGGACATGAGCACTCTGTGGATTTCCTGGGAAAAACACTGTAAAAGAACCATTTTTAAGTTAAGTTTAAATAATCTGGGAAAACTTCAGTATTGAATGCAGACAATTGGGTCAGGAAGTTTGGACAAAGAGAAAAACTACAATGACATTCACAATCACTTTTGTGAAGCTTTAAGGATTGTTCTGAGAAACTCAGAAGGCCTTATGAGTTTCTAATTATGAGTATTGTATTTATTTCTTTCATGTTAGGTGGTTAAGTAATGAAATACTGAGATATACCACTGGAATAAAAATTCTAGAAGCACATAACCAAAAAACACATGTCTGAAGTAGATTTGGGGCAATCTTACCCTAATAAGAACACTTGCTGTGTTGTAAGAATATACTTACCCTTCACAGTAATCCTATGAGTTGAGTCTTACTGTTCTCATTTTATAGATGGAGAAACTAACACTCAAAAAGATTAGGTCACTTGCCCTAGGTCACATAAATGATAAAAGACGGAATGAGGTTTTGAACCTATAACAAGCGTTATGTGTTACTATATAAACCATTGTAATTATTTTCCTGACAGTGATAATAGTTTTGAGGTAATGGATTTACAAAGGGTTCAGATAAAAGCATACAGTGATTTTGAGACGTTGCCAGAAGAGTTTTCATTATACTTATGAATTTCCCACAATGCGTGAAATTCAACCTCAGCTTTGCAGACTCAGAAATCTGATGTGTCGATGCACTAAGGAAAACTCCACCCTCAGACTAGGATTTACACGCTGCAACCTCAAAGAAGTCACATAAGCCCAGGATGACAATTTATGAATTGATAGTCACCGTGTCAATAAGCAAACTTTATTGGCATGGCATACTTGCCTTCCCTGAGACCAAATACACGGAAGGTCTCCTGTCATTGGAAG